TTGCATTGGACAATGCCGCTCACGTGTGAAGCAGGGTTTTTTTTTTTTTTTTTTTTTTACACGAAGTGCTAACCTCATTCTGGTTTGACACACTAGTGTGGATGGATTTTGATTTAGTTTATTTTATTTAAAAACTACAAGTTTTACTGACACATTATCATATTGTGCTTCTGACTAAAGGTTTCAGATTTCAATCCCTGAGACTGGCTTTTTGTCATATACAAAAGAGTGAAAATGCGCAAACCTGCAAACACAGTGCCGGCATACCTGGCCAAACACGGCAATCTGGAAAACCCCGCGGGGAGGGGGATGGGTGACCAAATACACAGCTGCCTTGCTGCCGGCACCAGCACATGGCTGAATACCTGAGATGCTACCTTACTCTGCAGATTAGCAAAATAAGCTCATCTCAGATTTTTCCGCTGATTTTTAGTTTTGCTTCTTTTAGTCAGTGCGTTAAATGGACTGCATGCTGTCATGGTGTATATGAACTGGATAAACTGTGACGCTGAACACAGACATCTGTGGCATTGTGGTGTGGCTCACCACCTGTAAACAGGATGCAGGCCTGGCGTACGGTGCTTCTGTGTGACACGGCTGCCTTGCTGGCCTCCTCGAAGGCCTATCCTCTGCGGACCCCCTGTGGGGACTAAGCTCACCCAGTCCATGCCCCCCTGCATCTGTGTGTGTGTTAATTCAGCAGAAGCGAGCCCAGTTCTGCTGGCTTAGTGGTTGTGCTCTTGCACGGTTCAGGGTTGACATTCCACCCCTGCATTGTGTGTGTGTGTGTGTGTGTGTGTGTGTGTGTGGCGCTTGTGTGATCCCCCTGTGTTTGCGTGTGGTAGCTCTACATTAATCTATGCTCTGCCATGGACTGTGCTCCCTGCCTCAGGCGCTGTGCTTTGGGGTATAGCCTCCTTATGTTAGATTGATGGAGCTCTGCAGTAGTTTGGCCACTTTATTTATATTTGTTTTAAAAAGTAGCTTGGACCATAAAAATGTGGCATGTTTATGATGATATTGTTTTTCAAGAGCCCCCCCCCCCCCCCCCCCCGAAATGTCATAAGTGGCTGAGGGCAGACAGACATTAGACAGGAAGCCGCCTCCTCTCACACCGCTGGCCGTGTTGCCTTATGAATGTTCTGCGAAAACCGCGTTTGCTTTCAAGAGTGAGCGCTAAAGGTCATGCCGGCTGATATTTCATTGCGTGAAAAAGCGGGTTAACTCCCCGCTATATAACCTCAGCATTGTTTATTTCAAAAACCCTTTGAACGTGATGAAAATTGAGTCTGTCAGACTGCAGGCGAAAGCCTGGGGTTTGTTTCATTCACATGTTCAGGCAACGGAGCAGAGAGGGGCTGTGTGCTGCCTTTCGCTGCTGCGTTACTCAGCTGCTTTCTGTCCCTTTCTCACTCTGTATGATGCCATGAGTTCAGTCTTCAGATGGAGGCAAATAGAGATGCTGGTTTTGATGGATGGAAACAGTTGGAACAGCTTGGTTTCCTGCATGTCCAGCATGAAAAAGCATTTGGTAGACAGCCGCGGCTGTAAGGTGGCATACGAACATCTCTGGGGTCTTCTGCTGCACAGGTTGGCATCTGTTTCCA